GAGAAGTCTGGCTTTTAAGCCAGAGAAAGTGGTTTCCAAACTTCTACTTGTTCTACATTTCTACGTCACATATCATAAAATAAATGAGAAATCTAGATATACTCCCTCCATCCATCCCTAAATTAAAGTCACTCTTTGACTTCATGGAATTTAAGTAAAATCTTAAAAAGCAAAAAGTGGGTGGTTAGGATTTGTTTGGAAGAAATAAATATTGTAAGCCACATTCTTTTCCTTAAATGGAAATATGATAAACGTGGCTTTAGTTTTGGAATGTCAAAAATGGAAAGTAACATCATTTTATGGACGGAGGAAGGATAAACTTGTTTGAAAAAATTAATCACATGTCGGCATGTCATTTTCCTTTGCATCAAATATATGAAATTTGATTTTTCGTAGCAGTTCACTTCCCGTCCCTAGTATATTAAGCTTAACAGGATCCAAGAGATAATAATGATTGTTACGTATGGCCCTTTGCAGTCACCGGTGGAACTCTAGAAGCTATCAGGGAAAGAATGAAAACCATCCAACTAGCAGCGGCATCAACTGGGCTTCCAGATCCCGGAAACAGGCAATTGATACCCCCAAACAATGGTGCAATCACTCATGGGGCTTCAAGTCCACAGCATGCATCTGCTGAGGCCTCTCATAACGGTCATAGTAATGGAAGTGAGGCTATTCTTCCCCCACAGGATGGGTCGGGGGTCCTTCCCATGGACGAAAAGGCCCTCTCGGGACTTCAGGCACGAATGGAGAGGCTCAAGAGTGGGTCTCTTGAACCACTTTAGTCCCGTGATGATGTTGTGGTTAAAAAGGTAATAGAGCAACTATTGAATTCCTTTTCAAGTGTTCTTTAATTGATTGCTACATATGATATACATATATCTTCTTCACTGAAATCCCTTTTCACGTATTCTGATTGGGCAGAGTGTAGGATAGTGCTTGATTGATGTTTGGTTGGAATTAATCGTGTGTGTATATATATACACATAATATAAATATTATAGAGGGGAAGTGGGTTTTGTCATTGGTTTTGGTTCCTTAATCTTTGTATTATCCAGTGTTTGTTTGGAAGTGGTCTCCATGAACAAGTCTTTATGCCCAGTTTTGCAGTGATTTCTTCAGCAATTAATCGTCCCATCACATCTCATCTTGGTCGTTGTTGTAATGACATGCCCGACATGAAGTGAAAAATAGGTAAAGAAAGTGATTGAAGTTAAACGACTTGGATAATAAACATGCAGTTTAATTTGAGATTGAGGGAGTACGAGAAGTTTTAGTGCATTGCATTATGAAAACATGAATATTATCATAAAATAATGCGGAGTATTTCCTTAGTCTCATTTTGAGTTGTCTATTGGTTAAATATGGAATAAGTTATTTGAAAATGGGGTGAAGTTAATAACATTTAATTCATGTATTTAAGAAGTATATTAAAAGCTATACTCTCAACAAAACAAAAGGTGATATGACTTATTTCATGAAATGATTAAAAGAAGGGACCAAAATTTGATTGTGTGAATTGTAATTAAACTTTAAATTGAGACGTAAGTAGGAAGAAATAAGTAAAAGGAATATAATCTTCATCGATTTGATAACACTATTTTTTCAATTCTCTTGGGTGTCATATAGATGTTTGTCTTACGTTGTTCCATTGGGCATGGAGTTGTTTTGGCTTTCCCTCTATTTATGGCTATCAATCGTTAGACACTAGGAAGGATGAAAGGTCAGTCAAGACTCAAAGCTCGTTCGTGTAAAATGTGAGGGAAAGTTAGACGTCCTTGTCTTGGCATTTAAAGAAATCACCCTATATAAGGCCCTAAATTTGAATAAAATATATATTCTCTCCGTCCTAAAACTTTCTTCCCACTTCTTTTTCTCCGTACTAAAACTACCTTCCCATTAGAAAAAAATATGACAAATGACATTAATACCCTCATGTATTTACACCAATTATCTTCTAACTATATATTTTGAATGATTGCAAAAAAAAATTCAAAAAATCTTTTTTAAAGAGGGTAAAATTTGAGATCAAAGCCAAAAACTAAAAATGGAGAAAAGTCAAATTGAGAAGAAAGTTTTAGGACGGAGGGAGTATAAAGTATTAAAATAAGATTCTAATGTTTTTATTTCCAATAGAAGAGTTTGCGATAACGTGACACTGTATATTGACATTTTACTATAATTTTTGGTATGGTATATGCATGATAACTCTTATTTTGAGAATAAAAAATATAAGGTTCTATTTTGATATATTTTTTAATATTTTAATCTTTGTTTCTGACATTAATGCCTTAGTTTACTAGAGAACCTAAATATTGGAATGGACAAGCATTAGAATTGTGACACCTAAATATTACAATAATGGCTAACGAGATACAAGATGTGATGGCAAGACCAACTATCCAAATGAGAGAAATTGAAATTCAAAGCAGAGTTTAAATGTAGAAAATTTGAAACCTACCTTTTGCCTATGCTAATTCTCAAATAACGGAAGACGTATGAGACTTATTAATGAGTCTAAACTGGGTTTGTAAGCTTTGTAATTTCTAAAGGTAATGATATTCACTTCACATTCAAACATTAAGAATCTGTTTGGTGATATTTCGAAATAGGATAAGGTACGAGTTATGAATTCTGAGAGAAATAATATGCGTTTTAAAGTTTAAAATAAATTTATTTGGAGATATTTAAAATCATAATCTAATTTGTGATAAGCGAAGGTGACATGCAACGGGACTGGTTGGCGGTGACAATGATCGCCAGTGGTGAAGAATGATCAATAGTTAAAATTTGAGAAAGATATAAAATCCTTAGATTGATATTTTCCAAATTCGAGAGATATCCAATTTGATATCTCTTTTGGTTTCACTGAACACCAAAAAAAGATTCTGATATCCGAAAATATCAAAAACCCAAATCTTGTTTATTCACCAAGCACACCCTAAACTCCATTCGTGTTTTATTTGTCCAATTAATTCAAAAATATTGGATTTGATTTGAATATTCAAATTTAAACATAATAATGCACTTGTCCCAAATAAAATTCATATTTAACAAAGTATAACTATTAAAAATAACGGCTGGGTTCTAGAGTCACTAAAAAAGAGTGGCTAAGGAAGCCACTCACCCAATTTGGACACTTACGGTACTTCGTTCACATTTGATAGTTCCTGACCCCTAATCCCCTCAGTAAACCCCCCACCCGGTCCTAACTCCAACTCATCCTCCCAAACACGTCAATTGCGGGGTACAAGTTTAATTAACTTTGGAGTCAAATTATTAAGGTGAGATTGGATTGATAGTTTAAGGTGATAATTTAGTTCAAATTTCAAGTTTGCTCTAATTTCTTTAATTCATTAGAAAGCTCAATTGCAAATCTATGTCTTTCATTATCATTTGAATTTTGAAAATTTAAATTTTAGAATTGAAATATAAGAACTTAAATGAAATGCTACTAGTTAAACACTGCGTGAATAAAATTGAAAATAAGAGGCAATGACAATTAAATCATTCTCTCCCTTCTATCTATTCGAAAAATGGGACTAAAAAATGGAACTTTCAATTGAAGATAGATGTTTAACTTTTTTTAAAGTGCTATTTCGAGTATATTTGACCCGCTTTATTATATTTAACTCTTTTTTAAAAATACGGAGTATTAAATTTCCCAATTTTTATTAGACTAATCTTCAAAATCTGAATTCCTTTGTTCATTAGGTTTTTACGTAGCCTTTACACTAATGGGTAAAAAGAGTGATGCATATTGGTTGGTCAGGTCCTCTTACTATTGATCATCTTCTCATTAATTTCATTGGTTGAGTCATTACTCAACATCAAGTTTCAAGCTGTTTAGGTATCGAGTAGATCCACTTCAAGTTCCTAGTAGCTCTGAACTCCCACATTATCGCTAGAAGTGAAATATCCGCAATTGATCTGATCTTATAATTTTTATTAGGGTGTTAGAGATTAGGTTCGTCAATGAAAAACTCTCTATCTCGCCTTTAAAGTGACTTCGACTTAAGACCTCACCAAGAGAAGAGTCTTAAGTGTGAAATGGTGACCCATTGGGTCACTCTAAATGAAAACAAAGATGATTGAGTTACACCAAAATTGTACTACAAGATGTACCCCAATTCCCAACTAGGTATCCACTACATAATTTTTGGTGTGAATACAAAAAAAGAAAGTGTGGATAAAAAGTGTTACCTCCGTCACGTTTGAATTTTTCTTGTTTGACTTTCAAGGTCAACATTTTAAAACTTTGACTGTAAATTATGGAAAACATACATTGAGTTATGATATAAATTTAATATCAATAAGTTCACTTTGACACATTATTTTGAACTATTACATTTTTATAGTACATTTTTATTTATAAATAAAGATATTAATAATCAAAATGTTTGACTGAATCGTGAAAAGTCAACTTGAAAGATTCAAAATGGATGGAAAAAACATGTGGTTGAAACTTGAAAAAGTGTTGAAGTAAAATTTAGAGTATAATCTCATGTATTTATATCATTCCATAATGAGAGATGCTAGTAGTACCCAAAATTTTATATCTTAACTTGTAAATCAATGTATTACAGACATATATAGATAATTATTGTCAGTGCGTGCACAAATAATAATTTTTTGTGTATGTCTATAATATACTAATGTACCATTTGGAACACAAAGTTTAGAGTACAAATCTTTTTCTTTGCTCAATAAAATAAGGGATTTGTGGAGGTGATCTTAACACCCATTTTGGGCACCCAAAGTCCCACACCCTAGTATTACCCATGGGCCAAACATATCCATATAGAGAGCCGTGACGGAAACTCTGTTGCCGTTTATTCAGAGAGCAGACGAACAGTCGGAAACTTACGTAGGAAAAAGGAACCACAAATTTTCCGTTAGAGAGAAAAAGGAAACAAAAAAAAAGAAAGTCATAATTTCGTGGATAAATACACACGGATGTTAGGCGAATTTTAGAGCGAGAAAAGATTCGAAGGTTAGAGAGAGAGAGAGAGATAGAGAGAGAGAGAAACATAATTGACTTTTCGTCGCCTCTGGATCTAGGGTTTCTTCATCGCGCGTGACTCAACTGCATCATCATCAACAACACAAGCGAACCGCTCATCGAACCCTAAATCTAAAAAAAAATTGATTTTTTACTCCAGAAGGATCTTCATCACCATCATCGTCGCCATCATCGCCTGTAATACCATCATCACTGGAAATCCGTTTCATAAAAATCTTAAATTTTGTTTTTTTCGGAATTTTTTCTACTCTCTCTATCAACCATCGATAAATCTTGAGAAAATCGGACCGAATACATTCAAATTTCAACATGAATAACGTGAACTAATAAGATCTGGTTGCTGATTTTTATAGTTTTTTTTTCTTTTAATTATTATACGGATCGACTAAAATCTCAACGATGGGAAAGTGAAAAGAGAATGAGCTAAATCTGGGTTGTTAATTTTTTTTCCATCTGGATAGGCAAGAAAAATGTATAAATCGACGGAGATGGTGAAGGTGTATGAAGGTCAGACGCTTCTTGGAGAAGTGGAATTGTATCCACAGAACGGCGTCGTTTGGCGGGAGAAAGAAATTCGGGTCTCTCACTACTCCCCACCCAGTGAGAGATGTCCGCCAGTTGCAGTGCTTCACACTGTTACTTCATCTTCTACCTCTGGCCTAAGCTTCAAACTGGAGTTCAAATCTCCAAAGACACAACAGACACTGGAATACTTGCAGCTCTGTGCTTTGCACTCCAACTGTCTCAGAGAAAAGAAGGTATATCATCAAAGTTGCTGAAATTCTGAAAATGAGTAAAACAGATTGGAAATCAAGAGCTAAAACTGTAAAATCTACCTCAAAACCCAGTTTTAAGTTGAAAAGATTAAACCCTAGTTTCATGTTCAAGAAACCCTAATTTAAGAAAATGATCTTGAACTCTCATTTGTCTTGAATTACTTAAGAGGCAATCTTTGAGCAGTATTCAAAATACTAACTTGTTAATTTTCAGAATTTCATAAATGGACACTCTTTGCAGGATATATAGAATCCCAGTTTCTTATCAGAAAATACAAGGCGTATTTTGTGCAAATTGAACAATTATATAGTATCATGTTTTGAGTATTTGGAAGTGGACAATAGTATGAAAATTATTCAGGAATTTGCAAATTCAAGATGGAATTTCAGACAAGTTGATTTTACTTGATGAAGGGCTTCTTTGAACTCATGTGTCAAGCCTTGTTATGAATGGATTACACAGTTGGTTTATTGCTATTCTCAAATGTTAATATTAGAATATTGAGTGGTTGATGCAAACAACACAATATATCAATAACATGATGTGATAAGCAACAGAATGTTGATGTTACAATCATTGTCTTATGGTCTATGAAAGTGGCATGAAATGAGCGAATCTTTCAACTGTATGCAAATGATCCACATTGAGTCATTGAGTATGATGTGAAATTGTTGTGGCTTTCTGTATTCAAGTACATTTGTAATTAATATCTAACAAAATATTGCTTTGTCCTTTTTTAGAAAAAAACATATTTTTGTTCCAGATAGCAGTTTTGATAAAAGAATATTTGATATTTGGCTTTTTTAAAAACCTTTTTTGTTGCATTGTCAAACACCTAATTCTATACCCTTTAAATGCAGACTGCTGTGATGTCACTTGGAAGGGATGAGCTTCATTTGGTTGCCATGCAGTCTAGGGAGTATGGCAGCCTTTGTCCATGTTTTTGGGGGTTCATTGTCTCTGCAGGGCTATACAACTCTTGCCTAGTAATGCTAAACCTCCGATGTCTTGGCATTGTATTTGATCTTGACGAAACACTCATAGTTGCCAACACTCTCCGTTCCTTTGAAGATAGGATTGAGAACTTGCAGCGCAAACTAAGTGCTGAGACTGACCCACAACGTGTATCAGGTATGGTGGCTGAGGTGAAGCGTTATCAAGAAGATAAAAGTATATTGAAGCAATATGCTGAAAATGATCAGGTCATTGATGATGGAAAGGTTATAAAATGTCACACTGAAGTCTTCCCAGCTTTATCTGATAGTCATCAGCCAATTGTTCGGCCACTCATTAGGCTACTGGATAAAAACATTATTCTGACTCGTATCAACCCATTGGTATGCATGCATTATAATAAGGACCGGCTCTTTAACAGCTGACATGAGTAATGATATATATACTCCATATATAATTTGTTTAATGCATATGTACACTTGTCTCCTCACAGATCCGGGATACAAGCGTTCTTGTGCGATTGCGACCGGCGTGGGAGGAACTCCGAAGCTACTTGATTGCAAGGGGCAGGAAGCGCTTTGAAGTATATGTTTGCACAATGGCTGAAAGAGATTATGCTTTAGAAATGTGGAGGCTTCTCGATCCAGATTTAAATTTAATTAGTGCGAAGGAGCTTTTGGATCGCATTGTCTGTGTCAAGTCTGGTTAGCTTTTAATCTATTGAGCTCTATTCCACATTTTATTCCAATTACTGTAGATGAGAAGGTCTATACATCCTTGAGGCTCATTAATTTCCTGCAATTGTATTGTAGGCATGAAGAAATCTTTGTTTAATGTCTTCCAAGATGGGAGTTGTCACCCTAAGATGGCTTTGGTCATTGATGACCGTTTGAAAGTGTGGGATGAGAAAGATCAACCCAGAGTGCATGTGGTCCCTGCCTTTGCTCCATATTATGCACCCCAAGCTGAAGTAGTGGCTACATCAAAAGTAAATAATAACCATGAAATACTCTGTTGTAAACTTTAATGATTCTAAAGTTAACACTATAAAATTGATGTTTGTAGGGAAACAACCCTTCTGCCGTGCTTTGTGTTGCAAGAAATGTTGCGTGCAGTATCAGGGGTGGTTTTTTCAAGTAATAGTCTCAATCAATGCATTGCTTCAGTTTATTTCTATTTTAAAAGAAATAATCTTTATCTTAAATTTCAAGCAGTTTTTTCACATGTTTAGCTGTATTTATATTTTTAATATACCTCATGTCGTGTAGAGATTTTGACGAGGGGCTCTTGCAACGAATATCAGAAGTGGCATATGAAGATAATTTTAGGGAAATACCAGCTGCTCCTGATGTTAGCAACTATTTAATTTCAGAGGTCAGGAGGATTTTAATTACTTTGTTACAGTTTCCTCCGTTTCGTAGCCATATGTTTATCTAGGTAAATTTACTAATTCAATATATGATTGGAGCTCTGTTTTTTCTGTGGTCAGGATGATACTTCCAATTCCAATGGAAATAAAGATTCCCTTGGTTTTGATGGCATGGCTGACACTGAAGTTGAAAGGAGACTTAAGGTATGGTTATGTAGTACGTATATGTTTTTTAAAATATTTTTTCCTGATGTTTTGTTTTGGGTGAGAACTTTCTTTCAGATAATAGTGCCATCTGTCTCTTCCCCCCACCCCCCACACACACCACACCATACACACACACACACCGTTTGTTTTTGTTGGGGTTTGGCTGGTGGAGCTGTGAAAGAACTGTTTTGTAATACATCTGAATAAGGTTAAACGCCCACTTTTATTATCATCTAGGAAGCAGTGGCTGCTTCAGCAACTATTCCTTTCCCAGCCTCTAACTCGGATCCTAGAATATCAGCAGCTTTCCAGTTCCCATCTCTGCCTTCTTCGACCTCAATTCCTGCTCTAACAATGCAAGCTCTTGGGATGCCTCTCTCTAGTCAACAGCTACCTCAAGTGATTCCAGTACTCAGATCAACAATCGCTCCAGTGGGAACTGAAGACGCAACAACCTTGCACTGTTCTCCTGCTAGAGAAGAGGGTGAGGTACCAGAATCAGAGCTGGATCCTGATACCAGGAGGAGACTTCTTATTTTACAACATGGTATGGACATGAGAGAGCATCCACCAGGTGAATCTCAGCCTACTGTACGGCCCTCTGCACAACCATCTGTTCCTAGGGTTCAGCCACACGGTTGGTTCCCAAATGAGGAAGACATGGGTCCTGGGCAACAGAATCGAGGCCAGCCACCTAAAGAATTTTCTTCAAGTGCAGATTCAGTGTACATGGAAAAGCACCACCCTCATCATTCTCCTTATCTTCACAAAATGGATGGGTCTGTTCCCTCTGATAGACTTGTTGAGAGCCAGAGGCTACAAAAGGAGGCAAGTGATCTTGTCCCTAATTTGGCTGGCATGTGTTCTATTTCAACATAACAAATAGGAATAGCACAGAATGACTTGTGTTTTCTTAATAATTACTGTGTATAGGTAATGCCAAATGATGATCGAATGAGATTGAATCACTCATTGCCTAGATTTCAATCATTTTCAGGTAAATAATGAATGGCGGTTGTTTCTTATCTGTCCATGCTTTCATTTGCCAACAATTCTTAAGCTAGTGCTTTGTCTATTTGTTCTGTTTTAAGTTAAATGTTATGAAAGGTCTATTACTTAGAAAAGTGGATAAGCAAGGTGACCTGCAAATGAATCTTCCAAAGGTTTATCTCAGATATGCATGCATGACTTAGTTTTTCTCCATCAAAAGAAGACAGAGATGCTCTATTGCAGTAAAAAAAGCTTTTATTTAAATGAATATCTAAATAGAATTCTGGAAAAGAAATTACCGGTTTTTAGGTGTTCTTTTTGGGTCAAGTAATGATCTTTTTTGTGTTTCTAAATATTGCATTTATCAACTTTAGGATGTAGATTTATGTATGTTTAATGTGGTTAGACTAAAGATTATACAAGGCTCGGCCAGTTTATTGGAGATAGTAGAGTTATTACTGCTATGAGAATAATATTTGCAAGTTATTTAGGTGAGGAAGTTCCGTTCCCTAGGTCTGGAAATAGGGATTTTGACCTTGAAGCTGGACGATTTGATTCCTATGTTGAAACAGAAGCTGGGACATTACAGGATATCGCTTTGAAGTGTGGGACAAAGGTATAGCAGTGTCGCCCCAGAAGTCATTATTCCTTCTTTTGTTTAAGTTAGTTCATTCTCATTTGGACTTATGCAGGTGGAGTTCAGGTCACTATTGGTTCCAAGCAGTGATCTGCAGTTCTCTTCTGAGGTATGTTTTCTTAGTTCTCTGATTTTTTGCACTGTTGGCATTTAATAAGTTATTATACTCAATTTTTGTTTAACTATTAGATAATCAATATTGAGCAGAATTCCTATTGGTCTCTGACTCTCTGTGTAATCTGATTCTTAAATGTGAACCTCATTATTAATGTTGCTTTGCATGAAATAACAATGTCATGGCATCTTTAATATTTTGCAGGCCTGGTTTGCGGGGGAGAAAATTGGAGTAGGAACTGGTAGAACTAGAAGGGAAGCACGTCATCAGGCAGCAGACAGATCACTTAGAAATTTGGCAGGTAGGAATTACGCAGTAGGATATATTGTTGCTTATTATTTGTGATAGGAAATGATTACTATGTTTTGATTGGCTGAATCTATTTTCCTATTTAGCTGGATATATATTTCTTGTTCATTACTTCAGTTATACAGCTGCTTGCTAAATGTTGTTATGGTCATGATGGTGGGTGTGTTTTGGAGTTTTTCTTCTCCAAATAGTAGTTTGGCCAATGGGTGATAGTTGATAAAAGCCACCATGGAGAAGAAGCTCCAAGTTAAGGTTTTTGAATGCTGGGTCAAATAAACACAAACTATAGATAAACATTTTTGTTCAGGCAATAGAATAACAATCGTGCAAGAATATCAAGTGGGTGTTGATTCATTCTTATTCATCAGTTGTGCATATCCTTTAACAGTTTTACCTAGTGTTGATTGTAAACTTAGATATTTTTGTTTCTATGAATAGCATTTACACGGTTGATGATTTATGTCTCATCTACTCCTGTGCTTTCTCGATTTAAAATTTGATTTTAGAGGGTTTATAAACTTTAATTGTTGGCTATCATTGTCCATGTCTCCATCTGAAGTGCCCTAGCTATCGGCTGCAGTGTAGTGTACTAGTGGCTTTCTTTTAATTAAATAAGCACATTTTCCCTTCACCTTGAGAGTCGCTGTCACCCTATAGCTGTTTTCTGGTGGAATGTCATCAGTTTGCTTGCATATTTATGTATTTTTGATAGCCTAGTTGTTACGGCTAATCACAATACTTATGATTCTTTGTTTATTTACAGACAAGTACCTGTCATATGTTAACCCTGAGTCAAGCTACGCACCTGGTGATGGGAATCAGTTTCTCAGTTCAAATGAAAATGGCTTTGCAAACGAAAAAAACATATTTGGGTACCAATTACCTCTTAAGGAGGATGTTCTTCCCTTTTTATCAACATCAGAGCCACCCAGAGGCATGGACGCCTCTAAGAAATCAATCAGTTCAGTTGCTGTACTTAGAGAGCTAGTAAGATTTCAGCCCCCCGTGTTGTTGAGTTTCTTCAATACTCTGATTGGGAATTCTGTTTTTTTTGCTATTCCATTATTTTTGTTGTTGTTATTATTGCTAATTTTTATATTTGTTATTATTCTTATGTAGTGCACAATGGAGGGTCTTGGTTTGGCGTTTCAAACTCAACCGCAACTTTCAGTTGCCCCAGGCCAGAAAAGCGAAATATATGCTCAGGTTAGCTAGTATCAGTATTTTGCAAGTGTTATGTATTGTATCTGACCCCAAGTAACTTGGGGTAAGTCTTTGTTGTTTTTTCTTTATGATGTTTCTTTGGATGATGTGTAACAGTTAGAGGACAACATGTTCTGATTGTGATTTGTTTTGAATAGGTTTCTTCACTAATTTGGTAATCAGATTATTGTTGCTTTCATTGACCTCTAGTTTTTTCCAACAGAATAAACCTAACTATAAACTATCCATAACTCGCTCAATCATTTTGGGTTAAACCAAACGCTTCAATTTTTGCATAACAATTGGTCCTTTAAGAAACTTCTCATCTTCATAATTACACCTTTTTTCTCCATCCTCCACTGCAGCATATCACCTCTGGCACAGCAATTCATGATATCTAGGACCTGTGCTATAGAGGGATAAGGTTGAAATACCCAGAGTGTAGTGAGAGTACCCAATTAAAACCAAATTGTAATTATTAAGTACTCCATATTTAAATTTTATTTTAAATTTTACACCTATAATCAAATAAATTGAATTGAAAATAACACGGAATGAGAAGAACAATTTTGGACCAAGGAATTACTCGTATAAATAGCCAGAATAATTTGTGTGTGCATTAATGTCGGTTCGTCATTACTGGCAGCAATACTGTGATTTTATAACATGAAGATTCTTTCCGATACACACTTGTACTTAAATTTAGTTTAGTACTTAAATTCTTCTTAATGAAGCGTTAATCATGCAAATCACTTTTTTAGATTCAATTTTCTTAGTATGCTACACTCCATTGCTTTCAGGTTGAAATAGACGGAGAGGTGTTTGGCAAGGGAATTGGGTCTACTTGGGATGAAGCTAAGACACAGGTACTATACTCTTTCCAAATCCTAAACTCCAAGTCTAATTTACAATCTCACACTTATCTCGATTCTCAGTGTTTGCCCATTTGGATATTGCATTTCTCAGGCTGCTGAAAGGGCTCTAGGAGCTCTAAAACCCACCCTTAGTCAGTTCTCACACAAACGTCAGGGCTCCCCAAGGTAATAAATTTCAACCGAACCATTGGATTATTTCATCCTCGGTGTTTGTTGAAAGAATTAAGCTACTTGTACACCAAAAGTTATTCCCCAAATTGCACACCACAGGTATGCACCTTCATTTTGTGTTGGTGTGATTCCAGTGTGATGGTTCACACAAGCACAAAATGCTAGTGTAATGAACCATCAAAATGTTGGTGTATACTTTGGGGTACACTCCTTGGTGTACCCCTAGCATGGTTGTTGCTGAAAATGTTCATGTTGTGATTAGAAGGTAGAAGGCTTTTTGGTTACTTGGAATTCTATATATATACATAATGGTGTTCTTTTTTCTGTCTATGTGTTATATGCTCTTTGAAAAATACATCCTCATGTTAGTTTTGTTGGTTTTGGAGCAGATCCCTGCAGGTGTTCTCCAATAATAAAAGATTAAAACCTGAATATCCTCGATTTTTGCAACGAGTCCCATCATCTTCCAAATATTCAAAGAACTCTCCTGTCATGCCGTGAAACTTTATATCATTATAAACACAAATATATGATATACACACTCCAATGGAACCGGTTGGCGGCTGTCATTAATTGTTTGGTGTGCCCAATCAGCATACCCGCGGTAATTATACATGTTGATCAAGTGCCACTTCCTCTAACTACGTACGACTCTGTGTTTGCATGGGATCCTCCAAACCTTGACGCGGATAACAATGCCCGCCAACTTTGCGGGGCCGGTTTGTCATATAGTTTTTTGACCCCAGGGAAGCCACATTGCATGATGTTGCGCGGCAAGTCTGCAACTCGTGGGGCTCACCGGATGTGTTGTGTTTGTACTGTTCCGGCAATGACATCAGCAGAACGGGCGAGTGGGGGTAAGAATTGTAGTTTTTGAGTAGAGACGACGGTGTGCCCCCCCCCCACCCCCCACCCCATCTCCTACCGCTTCGCCGGGTTGGATTTGAGTCTCGTGTGGATGTACCAATTCAATAGGTATATAGTAGTCTCCATCCTCAAATACAAGTCCTACAACCTTAGCTTGTGGGGATGGTGTGTTCTTCCTTTCTCTATGCTTCCATCATTATTTTTTCTTGAAACTCTCTTTGTTGTTTTAGTACAGTTCTCTGATTAATGCAAATTTTTATTCTTATCTCTTTGCAAACACAGCTTTGATTCCTTGTGGTGATTTAACTTTTTTACTATGGTTTTACATTCACTTATGTCTTATAAGCTAAGGATTATTTATTGAAGTTTTTTTAAAAAATAATAATTTAAATGAAAGATGAGTCGTTTGATGATATTCATAAAAAGTTGTGAAAAGATTTGTATCCTTATGCTAATGCTTTAGTCAAAATGTGAAAATGAAAATGAGTTTAAAAAAAATAAGTAGGTAAAACATTCTTATTATTTTTCTTATAAACAATTTATGAGCATAAAAAAACATATTATCAATTGGATTATAAGTTAAAAATACTTTATAGACGATATGTGCTGATTGGGCGTTTTGCATTTCATATTTTTAAAGTTGATGTTTTTGTGTTCATACTTTATACTCCCTCTCACACCAAATAAAATTCACAATTTGATTTTTATTTTACTTATGCAACACTTTCTATTAGATTCATACTCATGTGCTGCATGGTAAATTATTTGTATAAAAGAGAAAAAGAAAATTCATTGAATAAATGGTTCAAATAGAATTTAGAATGAAACATAAATATAAATTCAACATACAATGGTAAAAAAAGTTTTCATGGAACAATGTTATGCACATTAAAACATGTGTATAGTACTATTTTAAAATTAAATTCAACAAAAAACTAAGTGGTGAAACTCATAAGGTAGTTGTAAGTATGATAGTAATCTTAGCTACCATAAAATAAAATTTATTACACTCCATTTCAATCAAGAGAATCATGGGACTTCCAAACATCCTAGAAGATTTACATCTTGGAAAGAATATATTAATGCTTAAAAGTGTCAAAGAAGAACTATAAAATAAAAATATCAGAAGAGACACCTAATCAAGTAAGAAAATTATTTTAAGAAGACTACAGGAAAATAGATTTCACCGTTGGCCATTATATATAGTACAATGAAATAGTTCAATCAAAGCATCATTTTTAGATTTGAGCAATAGATTAATACTCCCTCCGTCCCAAAAAGATTTACCCCTTTCATAAAACTTTTGTCCCATAAACATTTACACATTTGCCTAAAAAAGACATTCCTACCCTTAAACCCAATTTATACCCCCACCCTCTTACCCCCACCCACCGAGGTCTAACCTACGCATCCCCTCATCCATTCATCCTCTCTCCTCTAACCGTCTCTTTGTGGCTGTTCCCCTTCCCCATCGCCGCCGGCACCCTCAATCATCAAATCTATATCTTCCATACCTCCTTCCCATAAGAATTCACCAAAAATGGTGGGTCGCGACCCTACCATGCCCTCCTTCAAGCTTTTAAGCGATAGCGAAGATGAAAGGGCACCTCCCCAGCCAACTCCTAAATCTAAAAAATCACGGATACCTAAATACGACTCTGGTGATAGCGCATCTGGCACGGATGATACAGATCCGACGTGGTGGTATCGGAAAAAATATTTGGGGGTGACTTTTTTCCGTCTGAGGATGAAGGAGGCAGTGTCGAATCTGATGGGGAAGATGAGGAATCAGTAACTTCTGCCCAGATCTTGGAGATGTCTGATACAGAAATAATTTTCGCTGAGCCCCTTGGAAATGAGGCTAAAGCATTGCGTTTCAGACAGAGTATTATGTTCTTCCTCTTTAGATTCACATACGATTAGTATTTGCATGTCCCATTATATACTCCGTATAATGTTTTTTGGCAAACTTATGATGCAAACAAACTTTGTGTGAATGATTGGAAGTCTGTGAGCTTTTTTTGGGTTTAGCTATATTGTAATGTCACCCCCTATGGGTTGGAGACTTACAACACTGTATTGGTTTGGTCTACCATATTGTTTGTTCTGTAAGAGAGGCTTGGTGGTGAAAATTTGGGGTTTGATGGTGAAATTTTGAGGCTTATGGGGAGTGATTGAGGAGATATATGGTCAAGACAGAATTTCAGTCTTTTTTGCTTACGTGACTCACATAAGCATGGCTTTATAGCACTTGAATGTCTCCTTATATCTTTGCACTTTAGCCATCTGTGGACTGTGGATTTTGAAACCTCCATAGCAAAGCTAAGTGCACGCATGTTCTTGCGTCTAGACAGCGGGATAGCTGCCAGTTTTTCCATGTCTACAGGGACCCTTTTTCTGCCACAACTTCCTTTCCAATGGCATTGAACATCAATAGGTAGGCCAGACTCTAATTGTGCTTTAGCAATTTGCCAAATGTTGCTCACAGTTTTCCTTGTAAAGTTGAATTCCTCAGCAACTTTGCTGATTAAACCATGCTGAAGTTTGTCATCCTTAGACTTTTCTAGTAAAACATCAACAACTCTTTTTCTTTTTTGATTAAGTTGAGCTCCTTTACTCTTTGCTTCTGTTTCTGTTTCTGTTTCAGGGGTGAAAAGGTTGTCAAAGGGGACTTCTATAACATCGGGTAGATGAGGAGTGATTGAGGAGATATATGGTCAAGACAGAATTTCAGTCTTTTTTGATTACGTGACTCACATAAGTATGGCTTTATAGCACTTGAATGTCTCCTTATATCTTTGTGCTTTAGCCATCTGTGGACTGTGGATTTTGAAACCTCCATAGCAAAGCTAAGTGCACGCATGTTCTTACGTCTAGACAGCGGGATAGCTGCCAGTTTTTCCATGTCTACAGGGACCCTTTTCTGCCACAAATTCCTTTCCAATGGCATTGAACATCAATAGGTAGGCCAGACTCTAATTGTGCTTTCGCAATTTGCCAAATGTTGCTCACAGTTTTCCTTGTAAAGCTGAATTCCTCAGCAACTTTGCTGATTAAACTGTGCTGAAGTTTGCCATCCTTAGACTTTTCTAGTAAAACATCAGCAACTCTTTTTCTTTTTTGATTAAGTTGGGCTCCTTTACTCTTTGCTTCTGTTTCTGTTTCAGGGGTGAAAAGGTTGTCGAAGGGGACTTCTATAACATCGGGTAGATGGTGCAACAATGAGGAGTCATGTGTCGATAAAGACGAAGGTGAAGATGGCTGATCGGGAGGGGGCATTGAAGGCAACCAGGCCAGTAAGAAGATGAAGATAATAAAGTGAAGAAGATAGGTGAAATGAATGCATTCAATGCATTCATTTAAATATGCAGTGCCTGTATGAAGTTGTAATTTTTTTGTTTTGGTTTTGGAGGGGTGTTTTGGAGGGAATATCAAATTTTCCCAAAAAAATTCACCATTTAAACAAATTTAATGAATGTAATGTATGGTGATGGTGAATGTAATCCCTGTAGTTTGAGACATGGGCAGTACGGCTGGTGGATTTGGGGTATGATTGCCCTGCCGTATTTAATGTGATAAGTACTCCACTTGCTATAAAATTATGCTTTACACTATTCATGAGTTGATTGTAATTCTACTTTTTTATTAGGGTTGGGGATAAATTGGGGAAGTCAAAGCAAAAAATTTTGGTCCACTTATTTTGCTAAAAAGTCAAAACGGGTAAGACTCAAAGGGACAGAGGGAGTATTACATATTACAACCAAACAACATAATTTTGATTGGCATTAAAAAAATATATGCATACATCTAATTCTACAAATTTTAGAGACATACCAATAGTTATGTGTGTCAAAAATTTATAAAAAATTAGACAATAAAAAACATCAAATCCTGATACTAAATGTAAAATAATAATAATAATAATAGTTGTAGTAATAATAATAATAATATAGTTTAAAAAATATAAAAATCCTATAGGTAAGACCAAAATACTCTCCAGTTTCAGATTGGTGTAGTACCTATTTATATAATCTTTGAGTAACATTTTACAGAGCGATTTCATCGATACTAGATGATAGTGTCGACGAATGACCCTCGGTTATTTGGGGCACATACGCCATACGATCCTTCATTCACAAAATTGATGATTCCAACTTCCAACTTCCAACTTCCTTAATCCACAGTAAACCTCACTACTCAGTCTGATCCAAAACTCATCCCAATGATTGCCAGTTAGACCGCACAAGTTTGATTGACTTTAGGGTCAAAATTAGTGTCAACAAAACTGAACTCGTTAAATGCTTTGTCCAAATTTTCTTGCTTTTTTTTAACAATTCTTGTTTTTTTAAAAAATTATTTTTTTGAACAATTCTTGTTTTTTTAACAATATTTGTTTTTTTAACAATATTTGTTTTTTTAGAACAATTCTTCCTTTAATTAAGTTGGATATAATGGAGTATATAGAAGTATAGAAAAAACTTACGGTCGGCGCACCTCATAGAATACTTGGAAAATACTCATTCGTACATACACACGCATTTCTCGGTATAGAGAGAGAGAGAGAAAGATCCGGGATTTTTTAGAGAGAGAAACCAGGAATGGCTTCCTTTGACGCCTTTAGTATGGACGGAGATCAGACGCCGACGACTACACCGTTTGACGACGGCGGCTATGGCGGCTACTCCGCTTTCTCCGCCGATACTCCGCCGTACCAATCTGCCGGCGGATTGTCGGAGGACTACGTTGAAGTGAGTGCGGAGCATGCCTCTCACTCCGTCGACAGCCCTGAACCTTACAGATTCGGATCGGATCCGTACCAGGGACATCCCACTCCATTTGGATCCTCGCCTCTTCCGGTTTCCAACGGAAAGCCCTATGACCTCGGGGAAGATTCCGACGGGATATTCAGCTCCGATGGGGCGGTTCTCCCCCCTCCGAACGAAATGCGGGAGGAAGGGTTTGCTTTGCGCGAATGGAGAAGGTCAGCTCTCAATTTCACCTGTTTCCTTCTTGATTCTGATTTCTGATTTGATATTTTCCAAATATTTGTTTTTCTTTTGAACTTTGTTGCTATTCAAAATAGTTCTGCTAATCTTATCTTGAGCTGAATACCTTCAATTTGAACCGATCAACTGCCAAATCCATTTTCTATTGTGACTTGTTTTACTCGAATATATTCAGATCTGCGTTTCAGTTTAGGAGAAATGTTATCTTTTGCTATAAATTATTATTTGTTATGGTTCTTGTTGATACCAACCTTATTTGAAAATAGAAATATAGTGAATGCTTACGCCCTATTGTATGCTTCATTTATAGTATACTACCTCCGTCCCACTATATTCGTCCACTTTTGACTTTTGGAACTGTTCATCTAAGCACTTTGACTGATCAAATTCTCTCAATTTGTAAGGCTAAATATAGTCATGTGTGATCTTGTTTGATTTGTCTTAACATATAGATTATTAACATATAATTTCTATAATTTTTTAATATATAAATTACAAGATAAAATGGATTAAAGAAGTGCATTGGATGGTGTGCAAAAATGAAAGTGTACAAATATAGTGGGACGGAGGGAGTACTAAATATGGATTTTTGATGTTTATAGTCTTGAATTTTTATTTACCATGTAAATCCATGGTTTATCAAGCTTCTTGATCTTAATCCATGATACACCTTCAAACCTTAATCCTCTTTCTTACCTTCTTTTTTTCTACCCTCCCAAAATTGTCTCCGATTTTAAATAACTTTTAACCACCCAATTTTAATTCTATTAATTTTGTATCCGGTCAAAGTGTGCTTTTATTTCGAGAAGAGCAGAGTATTTTTTTGTGGATAAGATATTGGTGTGGAGTTTTGGTGTCACATGTGCTCTTGGCTGGGATTTGTTGTACACTTGTATCATTACTTCATTAGTCCATGCCTACCAAATCCATTTTAATCCCTTAACTTTTAGGTTATTTGCACCTTCGGTCTCAATGTATCACACTATCACTAAATTCCACTAACTGAAATCTTTCGTCAATCGCCTTGAGATAATAGCAGCATACTACTATTTAAATAAAATATGTTTTAATATGCTCTCTTTTAGTTATAAAATACGTTTTGCCATCTCAATTAGTTCATTCAAAAAGCTTTTTGAATATTTTGCAAACAGTTTTATTATGGTGTTCACTAGTATACCTGATTCACTAGCACCATGATATTAAAGTTTCATCATGGTGTTCGTTCAGGTGAATATTTTGTAAACAGTTTCTTCTAAATTATTAGCATTCTTTAGAAGAAATATAACATATTTAGAAAAAACATGAAGTCCAGAAGACAAAGTAATTAGTATTCTTGGAGAACTGAGCAATCATCATAATTTTTTAAAAAAATACATCCAGGTGTGTAATATAATATGTGCATCTTGACAGATATAAGATCTCACTTAATCATCTTCTGGTGAGGCTAGATCTTGAAAGAAGACATGATCCAACTCTTTTCAAAAACATAGTAGGGGAATTCTCACAACTATTACCATATTCTGGTGTTTTCATTGGTGCAGGGAAAATGCCATTCGACTTGAGGAGAAGGAAAAGAAGGAAAAAGAATTAAGAAACCAAATTATTGAAGAAGGAGAAAAGTATAAGAAAGCTTTCTATGAAAAAAGAAAACTCAATATTGAAACTAATGCGGCCATTAACAGGGAAAAGGAGAAGGTGAATGAATCTTTGTGAACATTTTCTTTATGCTTATTTTGCCAGTCATTTTGTTTTTGAGACATTATCACCGTTGGTTCCACAATTATTAAGCCATTTTTTCTTTCAACTTGTTTTCTACAATTCTCGTCGCACAAGCATTTAATATTTCTCAGTATTAATCCTTTTCAGTTTTCCCATTTTGGGTCCACGACTATGGATTCCTCTTCACATTCTGTCCCTCTGCCTGCTTACTCCACCAATTCCTGTGCAATTTTTGGATAGTGACCAAAGAGAACAAAAAAAGGCAAAAAAACAATTCATAATTGTGCACCAAAAGTTTAAAAAATAAAATGAGAGTTAGAGGTTAAAAATATGGAGACCAAATAGTTGTGGGACCAAAAGTGGTAACATTTCTTCTATCTGTGTTGGTTGCCCAAAGCATTTGACAGTTCACCACACTCCCAACTTCCTTTTCTTCTCTCAATGACAGTTATACTTGGCTAATCAAGAGAAGTTCCACAAAGAAGCTGATAAGCAGTACTGGAAAGCCATAGCTGAACTAATTCCGAACGAGGTGCCCACTATTGAGAAGAAGGGCAGAAAGAAGGATCAGGAGAAGAAGCCATCGATCGTTGTGGTTCAAGGTCCTAAGCCTGGAAAACCCACCGAGCTTTCAAGGATGCGCCAAATTCTTGTGAAGCTCAAGCATAAACCACCATCTCACATGGTACCACCACCACCAACCCCTCCTGCCAAGGATATCAAAGATGGGAAGAAGGAAACAAAAGACACCAAAACTGGGAAAGATGCAGCTGGTGGTGGTGGGCCCGCCAAGGATGCCAAAACACCTAAAAGTGTTGTGTCAACACCAGAAGAACCTGCAACAACCCCGACCGACAGTCAGCAGCCCTCTGCTTGAATCTTTCTAATTCGTTCCTGACCAAGAGTCAGCAGCCTCCACCTACTTGAACGGGCTATTGTCTTTCCTCTGCAGCGTACTGTCCGTGTTTACGAGTTTTGTATGATTTGTACTGCTCGTTGATCTTGCACTTTTTTTTTGGTTGTAGAATGTGTAACTTGCTTCATTATACTCTTGAGATTGTGGGTGTCTGCTTCATAGAGTGCATTTCATTGTATGATTTGTATCTTGACCAGCTTTTTTTACACTGACCGTGAAGTATTTTCATTTTTTATAAACTAATGCTTACTTTAAGCCCAGAGATGCCCCCATATTTGGACCAATAAGTTAGTATGAAGCCAAATTTGGTGCAAATATATGGGACTGGAACAAAAATGACACTTGTATGCCCTCTTGCATGGTTCTTTAGGCTCTATTTGGTACATGGAATTCAAACTGTGGAATTGGGACAACAATTCTAATTTTGTTGTTTGGTAGCACAAAAATATGTGAATTTGGAATTGGTAGTGTCAAAAGTAAATTAGAATTGAAAAACTTAATTCCATCTAAATCAATTTCATAGAATTTCAACTTTCAGTTCAATTTTAATTTCATCAATTCTGTATACCAAATTCACATTACTGATATTGTGTACGTAGTATGATTTTATGCCATGACATTAACAATTATGCATAGATTTATTCTCTTGCTCCATCCTTGCAAGCGCGTGTGCACATGCACCCATGTAGCTCAATTTAGAATAACACGTACTCCATCCATTTCTATTATGATTTCTTAGATACATTAGACTTTGAATGTGTTGAGACAAACATTATGTCTACATTCATTTAATTTTTAATGTATCTTGAAATTTAAATAGACAGTTACTCTGCATTTGTCATGATGTCGGTGGGCGTATTGTACAATTGGCAAAAGGGTCAAGGGGGTAGACCTGAGTTTGATTCTTGCAACTGCGCTAGGAGGCAACTATGTTAAGCATTAAGTATCTACTCACTCTCTGTCATGTGTTCTTAGTTCTAGTCAACCTAACTGATTTGGAATGTTTACTTTTAAACATATATAACCCCATAACAAATTGCAGCAATGCATTAAGAATTTGGCCAAAACACTATATTTTACATGGATTAAACTTTGTTGACCACCTAGACCCTATAGAGTTTAGATAATAATTGGGTTATTTTTGTGTACTCCAGTATTGATAAGCTATTAAACTCCACAGGCTGCAGAGTATAAGACTATAATGAAGTTTTAATATAACGATTTAGTATCTATTCATACATTCTTAATCTACTAGTCTTGTAGAGTTAATGCTCGCACTAGGGATCAAACATGTGACCTCTCATTAGGCTAATAAGAGTATAAGGGGCTGTTTGACAACTTCTGAATAGGTAAGTGTTGAACCAGTAAGAGGTCTGAACCATTAAGTGCTGAACCAGTAAGAAGTCTGAACCATTAAGAGCTTAACTATTCAAAGGCGTCTGATCAATTTAGATAAGAGGTCTTAACCATTCAGACTCTGTATAATACTTAACCATTCAGAGGCAAATCTCTTAACCATTCAGACATCTGAACCATTAAGAGGCTGAAACAAACAATCTGAATCATTAAGCGCTGAACCATTCAGACATCTGAACCATTAAGAGGCTGAAACAAATAGCCCCTAAGACTAATAATCTTTTACTCCGGTATTTCTTCAATTCTGATTAGTTTATGAAGCTAATAATAAATACTTCATCCTTCTCACAGGAGTTTTGAATTTTTGCAATCAACCAAAGAATATTTTTTTATCTAAAGTTAAATAAAAATAACATGTTAGAGGTGAAAATGGAAGGACGTTACGTAATACGGAGTATTTTTTTAGTAGAGCCTCCTATAGAAAAAAAATACAAGTAAAAATATATTCCGTATAATTCAAAGAAATTATACACTAGTTATGGAAACTCCATATTGAGTGCACTACTCTTGGAACATGTATATTATGAAAGGTTGAAATTGATGTATACACATTTAACGATTGCAAAGTGTTCATTTCGTTGCTTACCACACATTCAATCATTAAAAAGCACACGTTTTCTTACATACCCAAGCGTGCACATTGTAAAATTAGTGTATGCACACTTACAAGTTATATACTCCGTATTGTACTCGATGGATGTATGTAAAATAAGTACATCCGAATGTACGGTTTAATTTAACAATGGTAGCTGATGGGGAAAAAAATAAGGTAAAGAATAGTACATCAACCAATAATAATATTAGCAGCCTAACTACACTCCCCTACAGCAGCCTTCTTTATGTGCAGCAATCGAGGCCCATGATATATGCAATGCTCCAGATATTCTTGTTCTTTTCTTTCTTTATTCTTCTTTTTTTATTTAATTTTTTACTTTTTTTATGGGTGGGGTGGGGGTGGGGGTACAGAAATAAGCATTTTATCTGGCACTCACCTGGGTGATAGTGATGGGAGCCGAGCTCATGGGTTGGGACGTTTCAGACGCGTTCTGCTTTGAGTGAGCATTAGGCCCGTTGGGATCTTGAAAGAAACCAGGCGGTGTCAGTTCTTTCTCATTTAGTTTAATGTCGCGGGAGAGCATGTCAACGACCTGGCTCATCATCGGTCTACGGCTTGCATTTGCTTGTGTGCAGAAAAGTGAAACCTTCATATACTTCAAGACTTCCTCCTTAGGAAACTGTTCCAGCTCCGGATCCACCAGCTCCAATAAATTGCCCTCTTCATGTAGCTGCCATGCCTGTGATGGAGAATTGTTCTATTAAGAATGGATCATGCTTGGTAAGGTGTACAAATAGTTTAATCCTTAAAGAACAGCAGATAATCGACAAGGGCACAAATGGAGAGACCAAACAAAGTGAGCATATCCCATTGAGTTGGGTGAGGGGGCAAGGGCATAGACCTCATCTCTACCCAATGGGTAGAGAGTTCTTGTTTGCTCTAGGAGCAAATGAATTTCTTGGCCCAGGAGCTTAGGTTTCACAGAATATACTATACTTTTTTTCGACTTCAATGTACCCCTCTCAAAGTGGACTGTGAGAAGATTGTGTTGGGTAAAATCTCATAGAGTAAAAGATTAATTACTCCAACAGCACACCATAATTCTAGCAGATGAGATGCACAAATATCTTATGGAACTTGTTTGGCAAGGTAAAATTTGGTGGAAATAACTACTCCTTATATTGGATGATGTTGCTGAAATTGTGGTTGAAGTGACTAGATGGGCTGAATGAGCTGGGTTATCTAAGGAAATATTTCCTCCATCTCAAAATGATGTTAACACTTTTTTTTTGCCATGTCCCAATATTGAGTTCAGACTTCCTTACATTCTTCTTTAAAAATATGTGGCTTAGAACAATTCTCTTTTAAACAAATTTTAAAAACACACTTTTTTACTTTTCATCGGAATATTTCTCTTTTGAACAAATTTTAACACACTCTTTTACTTTTCAACACTTTTAATCTGTAAACTTCACTTTGGGGCAGAGGGAGTATTTAAAATACTCCAGTATTTCCTAAATAAATTTAAGAAAATAATGACTGAAAGTGTCATTTCAATCAAATACTGACTTCCATGCCCCAAAGTTAGTCTGGTAGGAAATTTGGTTGATGAGGATGATAAGCAGAAAAATTCTACTGCCAAATGCACACTTAAAGAGTGATATTTTGACATCTAATCAAGGCCAAATTTTATGGGAAAAAAGAGGTAGGCTTAACCATTTGAAAACTGTATGAACTTGTCTACTTTTTCACCAAATACGTGGCATTAAGAAATCTATTTATGATAGAATAGTATAATTCCTTGAAAAAGAACTTGTATTAGCAATTAAACAGTGAGTAAACCCAATGGCTATTAAGTATTAACATGGATGCAGTCAAGATACAAACAACCATAAATGTGAAAATATGCTGCTTTGAAGAATAAAACCATTTGATTTTAGCTATGATATGTTCTTGCCAACCTGTTCAAGAAGTAATTTACGTTGTCCTCCCCAGTTAGAACTGGAACTGCTCCTCCCACTTACAACTTCAAGCATTAGAACACCAAAGCTATATACATCAGCCTTTAATGTCAATTGACCCCCTAACACATATTCAGGTGCTAGATAACCACTGCTTGAAATAAACATGAGGAGTTCAAGTAAGAATAGAAGGTTTTCACAAAATTCTACGACATCTAGTTCAAATTCTATCACACTCATTAATTCATAAAATAATTTATATTAAGGATTGTTTAGGTAGTGGCAGGGGTGAGGAGGGAAAGAGAGGATGGTTTTGTTACGACAAGTTTTATGTTTTCTAGAGCATAGTGTCTTTTGAAATAACCTCTGTATATTTTTGGTAGGGGTAAGGTATGCATACAACCATACACCCACCATCCGCTGACCCCCACTTGTGGTACCTTACTGGGTTGTTTTTGCTGTTGTTGCTTATCTCTATTTACTAGTCTTATTCTATAAAATAAACATATGTTCTGTTAAATCATGTATCTCTATATAACTTTTCCACCATAACATCTAAATGTAAGAATAAATGAATAAAATAAATATCACACCTTGTCCCGTCCCCTTCCCGCCCATCAAAATTCCCCCAACCAAAGGGCTTAGCTGAGCCAACATCGAATAAAGGAAAAAGTATCAAATGTTTAAGCCAGGGTAGTAACCAAATTTTTACAGCAAACAGAAGGGGAGACATACGTTGTTCCTGCGATTCTGGTACTGATATGGGTCATATTGTCTGGGAAAAGTTTAGCCAGCCCGAAATCTCCAATCTTTGGTGTATAATCCTTGTCAAGTAGTATATTGCTGGCTTTAATGTCCCTGTGCACTATGTGTGGCACTGAGAATTCATGAAGATAAGTTAAGCCATTGGCAGTTCCCAAGCAAATAGTAGCTCTTGTTCTCCAGTCCAAGTTAACAGTCGTACTATGACCTGCAAATGCAATTAGTATAATTAAGGGTCCATTTGGCATTGTTTTCTTACAATGGCCAAATCTTTTTCTGAAAGCAAAAGCATTTGGTTACATCTATCCATCTGGGCAAGCAAGTCAACAACTATCTATTCTGATTTTTCTTGTGGTAAGTAGAATACGCCAATTATGGCTACCAAAAGGAGCCTAAGAGTTTAACTAGATAATTCAAAGTGTATGATCATAACATACAAATTTCTATGCACTTACCAAACAATGTGCGATCAAGGCTCCTATTTTCTAAATATTCATACACAAGGAGCTTATTGTCACCATGAACACAGCACCCAATTAACTCAACCAGATTTGGATGTTTTACATTTGAAATAGTTTCAATCTCCGTCCAGAACTCACGAATTCCTTGTTTTGATTCAGCAGCAAGTGATTTTATTGCAACTTGTAAACCATTTCGTAGGGTTCCCTATAAATTCACATTCGACAAGCAGATAGTTAGAGACTTGTATAGAGTGCATGTCCAAAATCTTGATCTTACTTTTAAGCCAAGTGTTTAAAACAACCTGTGTAACAAAAATTATGTTGTTATATATTTTGGGTGGTTGTTTAGACTTAATAGTCCCAAGGCAAACTAGTATTTTACCTTGTAAACACTTCCAAAACCTCCTCTTCCTATCTTACTAGCTTGATTGAAGTTGTTTGTTGCTTCTTTTAACTCGGAGTATGAGAATCTTTTTGTTGTTGCACTTGAGTGATCTAGCCAGTCAAATGTAAATGTAGATATGAGATAGAACGCATTTGTACTGGAGAGTAACTGGGGTTGATTAAAGTTCTGTGCATTTAAATCACAAACCTCCACCATCTCGAGCTTCTTGATGAGCAAAACTATTCCTACTACTCCTACGGCGCGCACTTGATCCACCAAAACAGCTACAAGTCATGTCCATACACTTTACGTATCACAAATTCACCAAAACCATCCAATGCTGTTTATTTCGATCGCAAATTATAGTATTGGCTTCTTCAGTTTCTGCTCTCCATGCAGAGACAAGTGAAATTAACTGTTACCAATAAACGCTACCAGATTATGAACCCTAGAATCATCTTAGCTTCAAAACAGTACTTAATACCTCATAAACTGCATCTAATTTCAACACAATAATTCCAGTATTTGCATCATGACTCGTTAAAATGGCAATAAATTTCAAGTGATACAACAGTTTCAGCTATAAAAAAAGAAATTTAATTCTTCAATGTACCAAGCTCCTCCATTAATCATGAACAAAGATATCAAATAGAAAGCGATTAAGGAAAGCACGCAGAACATACCGGATCGGCGTTTGCAACCGCCGAATTCGAAACCTCGGCACTTCGAGCAGAACTGTGAGCGGAGGAAGTGAATTCCGAACTTGTTTGTAGGAGACGGGGGAGAGGTGGTGGGAATTTATTGTCGACGAAGATGGAAGAACTTTGCCGCCCGCGGCGGCGCCCGACTAGAAGGCATCAGCAGTCATATAGCTGTTTAGTTTCGCCATCTCCGCGTTTCCACCATTGAAATTGAAGCAGTCTATGAAATAGGGAGAATTACGTATGAAACTATGAATGGGGAGCAACTTTTCTTACCTGGACTTTGTCTCCTTCAACACATCTCTGGACTCTGGCCCTGTTTGGCCATAAGCTTGTTATCTTCCTTTGAATTGGGGAAATTATATTATACATTCCATTGCACCCAATTTTGGGTACAACCAAAAAATTATTTATGATATGGATTTTTTTACACAAGAATGAATACTAAGTTAATTGAGAATGAGTATTGTTTTATTTCAAAATTAACATTACATTATTTGTAAATGAATATTATAATTATATTAAACCAATGTGTAAAAATGAGTACTGCATTGTTTTATATTGAGTACTAAGCTAATTATATTTGTGCAAGAATGAATACTACTCTACTTCAAAATGAGTACTACACGAATGTATCGTACATCCGATTGTACCATATACCTTCTCGAATTTTAGCCCTTTTAAAACTATTTTAGGTATTAATATTTTTTGAATGTTATTAATTTTATAATAATACAAATTCAACTGTCATGGTTTAGGTGTTAGTTTTTTTTAAAGAAAATATGGTCAAATAATTAGACTGACATACCTGTAAAAAAATCGCATATGTTATATTGATGATGTTTAATTCACGAATTTAAGATACTTTGGAGTTGTTCACGTATAATCATCTCGACGGATTCTAAGAATCCATGTATAGAGAGAGTTCTAGCGATAAAAAGAGTAATTCTTGTAATAGATTTAAACAAATAATTGTGTCTCTTCCATATAGGTTATAAAATGGTATTTATAAACAAATAATATGGGAAAATAATGTGTATGCACAACTTATCAAACAAATATTTATTTAACTATGTCGGGGTTTTACTGAGAAAGAAGCACGTGTAAATTTCTTGACTAACTTGTTGGAAGGAAGAAAATTCATACTTAGATCACGTATGAATAGAAAACACACTTGTGTAGATTTAACAAGAGTTTCTTTTATCGGGGCTTGGTGTTTTCACGGTAAGCCAAGTTATATTAAAAGTTTGTGTCATGCAATGTGACCAAATACAAGATAGATGCCTTGACAACCAACATGTGTTTATACCATTTACATTTGACAGTTGACACATATGGTTTCCTCACGTTTGAGGGAGCGGAATTGTCTAATCAAGTCCAACGGGTCATGTATAGTCATTTTAGTGTCCCTAAATCCACAAGTGTAGTTTTAAAAAAATATAATTCCATTATTCAAAAAGGGCTAGTATCACATTTGCCTTCACCATAAGATCCTAGGGCCAGTTGCCACGACTAAGACTACATTCTATTTGTATGATCTAATCGTAGTTGTATAAAAAGTTGTTTCTAATCTGATCTAATCAAATCTGATTAGATTTGATAAGGTCTGATCCGATTTTAATATGAATAAGTAATAAGTTAAAAAAAGTTGAATGGAACGAACCCTGAAAATAAATAAATTAAAAAAAATAAGTCGGACTTTGGTGTATCCTTCACACCTTGTCTTGCAATTATGCTATTAGACCTGGTAAATTGGTTAGTTAGGTCAGGTTCGAGTTCAATCACTTCGGATTCGCGTCACATTATATTTGTGTATGTTCGAGTTCGAGTCAATGACTATATGTTCATAACCTAGTGTTATTGGATTTGGGTCGACCTAACGAGTTATAAAATTTATTTTTAGAATATTAAAATTCATACCAGTACTTATTCTTTGTACTATGAAAATAATAAAATATCAAAACACATACATTAATGCTCTTAGAATATTTTATTTCAAATTTTTAATTACTTTTTAAATATATTCAACAATTTAAACTACATTTGTCCCCGAGTATTTGTACAGTTTTAACTATTTTCGGTCAACTATTTTCAACCTTTGACCTATAATTAAATAAAATATAAATTGTATTTTAATTAGATAGAATAATATTTTGAAAATATTTGATATAATAAATCTAATAAAAATGATTTTTTGTCAATATCTAATATTATTTTTATTTAAATTGAGGTCAAAGTTTACAAATTTTAACCGAAAAAAGTAAAAAATAGATAAGTATTTAGGGACGGAGGAGTAAATAATATACAAAATTAAATACGTACCACCTTCGAAAAATGTAAGATACTCACGTAATATCATTAAACACTTTTAAAAAAATACAGGTTTATACACCAAGGGCCCAAGGCTATGCTTTTTTAGATTGGAATTTAAGAGTTGAATGTTGGAATAAACTAAAAGCAGTTGGAAAAAACTGGAAGTAGTTAGAAAAAATAGGAAGAAGTTAGAAAATGCTAGAAGATTTAAAGTGTTAAAAAATAACTCAATTAAATGATCACCCAAATAAATATGTAAGAAATAACAAATGTTGGATTAAAAAGAATTCATCGTTTTCCGTATTTGAGATGATACGTTATGAATTTTGTGATATACTCCGTATAATGTTATTATATATTCATCATATAAAAATATATTTTTATGTTGTTAGAAGAAATTAGATGAAATTGAAAAGAGTTTAAAAAAATCTAGAAAGAATTTAAAAAAGTTGAAAATTAGTTTTTTGAATCTTAAAAGAAGAAGGGGTACAAATGCGCAAATTATATAGTACAGCCGGCTGTACGGGAAGAACCATACAGCCGGCGGAAAATAAGCGGCAGATGCAGACGATCGAAGAAGGCCGGCGAAGGAGAGGCGACGACAAAGGGATGCGCGAACATTGGGAGGAGGCGAAAACTATGGAGAATGACAAGTCGAGGGAAGGTGATGGTAGCGGCTACTTTACAGTAACCTAGAAACCCTCGGTGGGACTGAAGAAGTTGAAGAGATGTGATTGGAATGAATCAGATAGACGAAGATCCAACTAAAAGGGTAGCGATGAGGAAGCTTGATGATGGTACTGAAATTTTCAATTGTGAAAGAATTGAACCATACCTTATTTCAGAATGAGGATTTTCTCATTTGAGAATGAGTATTGTTTTTTAAAGAATGAATATTACGCTATTTATTACTCCACGTCCGAAAATATTCTTCCCATTTGACTTTTCTTGGTCAAAGTTTGTAAACTTTGACTATGATATGTGGAAAAAATACATTGTATTAGGATATAAATTTAATATGAATATATTTATTTTGAAATATAGTTTTCAAATATCAATTTTTTATAAAATATATCCATGTATAAATAAAGATATTAGTGATCAAAGTATAATCTTGGAGACCGTAAAAAATCAAATGAGAAGAACATTTCCGGATGGAGGGAGTATGATTATATTAGATAAATGCGTAAAAATGAGTACTTCTTTATTTTAAAATGAATACTACTTTTTCAGAATGAGTATTAGGTATTTCGAAATAAATATTTATATTGGTATGAGAATGAATTCTATTATGAGTAATTTTTAAATGGGGTGCAATTTTGAAAAGTTGAAACTTTACTTCTCGCAACATGATACTGGGCATCTACTAATTTCGGACCAGCATTTGTGTAGTTTGTTGTGAAATCAGTTTTTGAGCTTGAAGACGAAGACGAAGATGAGTAGCTCTGCACAAACTCCACACTCTCTAGCCTTCCGGGTGATGAGGCTCTGCAGGCCATCTCTTCACGTTGAAATCCCACTCCGTTTCCACCCCTGCGATCTGCTCTTCGGCGAAGATCTGTTCGACGACTCCGTCGCCGCCGATCACCTCCCTCGTCTCCTCTCCGGCTGCGAATCCGTTACCTCCGGCGACGGTGTTTCTGACCCGTCGGATCTCTCGTACCGCTCCAGATTTCTCCTCGATCAGTCATCCGATTCCCTCGGTGTCCCTGGCCTCCTCGTCCTCCCCCAATCCTTCGGGTTAATCTTACATTCTAGCTATCACTCTCCTTCTCACAGCAGCATATAGTGCATTGTATCGGTGTTTTCAGAGTTTTGATTGATGAGAGATTGGGATCTTCTTGCAGGGCCATATATTTGGGAGAGACGTTCTGCAGTTATATCAGTATAAACAACAGTTCTAATGTCGAAGTCAGGGATGTTGTAATCAAGGTGATTGGATGATTGATTGATTGGGTTGTTCTTTGCAACGATGAGCTGTTGCTGGTACTAGGCTTTATATAAATGCAGTTGGATTTGCTCAACTTGAGTGATAAGATATGGTTTCAAATTTTATCCACTTACCAACATCACTTTAGTTTGTGAGGCATTAGGACCATTTTACTGCTAGCTTATAGTGTAGATAGTTCTTGTCCTTTAGGGTATTAGGACTGGAGAATGAAGAACTGTATAGTGATGTAGTATATGGCAGGAAATAGTTCATGACTTCATGCTCCACAAGATTCTTTACTCAAATAAATTTTCAGTGTATATGACTCATCTAAAGGTCCAGAATAGACATAGCCACATCTTGAAGACCTTATAAAATTTTGAATATTCTGTTGCCATGTAACATGGTCATTGCCGTAAGGGCCGTAATGCTGTACTACTCATACTCTTGTTTTGGAAGATTAAAAAGGGACAAAGGGAGTACATCTTTAGTTCATATGATATGGATGCTATGTTATTAAGGTGTTTTTATTTTGTGTGCAACTTTTTTCCAAAACACAATAACTACAAGCAAAGAATAGAGATTTTTTTTGTCTTTAGTGATAAGCTATAGTAATGGGAAACAATTATTGATATGATTATTTAATTTGAATACTCACTCTTTCCCAAAATAAAGATCCACAAATGATTGGGCTCAACTATTAATAAATTGATTGGGCACAACTGTTAATAAAGGTGAAAATGTATGGTTGAGAGAAATTTTGTGAAACACACAATTCCTTCCTCAATAGGATATAAGAACCTGTTTTTGGACAAACAAATAAGGAAACGTGGAACTTTTTGTGTGACAAAGTGAGTCTTTCTTTTATGTAACTTTGCAAAGATCATGTTTTGAAATAAATAAATCCTTATTTTCTTTAGCTAAACATTAAATAATCCGATACAGGCAGAAATCCAAACAGAAAAGCAACGAATACTTCTTTTGGATACATCAAAATCCCCCGTTGAGTCCATACGAGCTGGAGGACGATATGATTTCATTGTAGAACATGATGTGAAAGAACTTGGTGCACATACGTATGTTTGTGATACTGTTTTTTTCTGTTAATATATGACGTCTGTAGTGTTATGATTTTCATTTTAACAATTTCCTGGATTTGTAGATTGGTGTGCACTGCTCAATATAGTGATGATGATGCTGAGCGTAAATATCTACCACAGTTTTTCAAATTCATAGTTACAAACCCCCTTTCTGTTCGAACAAAGGTGCAGTCTAGAATGCCTCTGATGCATGCTTCAATGGGAGTATAATTAATGCATACATAGTGCCAAGAGTGGTTGTAACTTACTACTTTTACTTCGCAAACATATCTATTCCACCATCTCCAATGGAGCCATAGGTTCACTATTTTTTGGGTTTGGGTTGTGATGGAATAAAACAAAATGGCTCTTTAAAGTTTACACTGTCTGTGCTTCTTCTATACTGAAGTAACAATTAGTCAATGCAAGTTTCGATGCTCATCTTGGGTCATCTGGAAACAACCGCTCTATGTTTTAAACATTGGGTTCAAGCTGCGTACATCCGAACCCCTCCTACACTGCAATGGGCGGGAGCCCTTGAGGGCCTGACGCATTGGGGTAATGTTGATGTTGTTGTTGTTATTCGTGTTCATAGTGTAATACATTTCATTTTTGTTTCTATTGTGCAGGTTCGCGTTGTCAAGGTAGGCTTTTAGAAATTTATCGACACAAAGGTCATCTTCCTTGCAGAACTATTTTATTTATTCATACGCTTCTACTGGAACACCATTCATCATATCTGCTTGTGTGTAAAATTCATGTATGGTACCTGGGTAGGAGACAGTAAATTGGGTTTGTAACATTGCACAGTTAGTATTTGACCCTTCTTTTTCCATTATGATCAATCAATATGTGACCTATTTGTCATACTCAACTATTTATGGCATCCAGTTCTTTTACTAGGAAACTACATTTTTGGAGGCATGCATAGAGAATAATACAAAATCTAATCTCTATATGGACCAAGTCGACTTCGAGCCTGCTCAAAATTGGGTTGCTACCGTACTAAGACCAGATGATCATCATTTGGAGGATAATTTATTAGTGAGGTGTTTTGGCATTTGCGTAGTTATAGCTGCACTCATTGTTACTTTAGTTACAAGTATCTTCACTTTCTCAAATGTTGTAAAGGTTAGCCCCTGCTTTATTGAATAGTTTATATTAATCTTCCAGAGAGTTATTCAAGCCTCCAGTTATCATAAGATCCGGAGGAGGTGTTCATAATTTTCTCTACCAATTAAGATTATCACCAGAAGGATCTCATTTGCTGAAAGTTGAGGGAAGCAATGTCCTGGGCAAACTTCAGATCACATGGCGCACAAACTTGGGTGAACCAGGGCGTCTCCAGACACAAAATATTCTTGGGAGTGTAAGTGAAAAGTTGGAACTTCATTTCTATGTTTTTCTTAATGGATAGAAGGCCATTCGTATTGGCACCATGCCATCAAGTAGCATCTTGAATTGATGAATCGTCAAAGGCAGTTCTCAAATAGGAACCAATAGTTTCATATGCTTGGAAAATGCAAAGGATATCATGTTCATATAATGTTGATGATACAAAAAGCAGTGGATTGTTAATAAGAACTGAGCATTATGTAAATAAAACAGGATATACCGATGGAGTGTTATGTGGTTGTACAAATGAAGAGAAACATGTATTGAGATTGGATTTTAAAGGTTAATCAAATAACTTGAAACAGAGTGGCAGGGGTGAGGAGCATGTTTGGGTAGAGCAGAGATGAGAAAATGAAGAGAAAATGTATAACTTCATTCCTAGCATAAAAGTCTATAATGAAGAGTGCTCCCCTAAATACTGATAGCCAATCAAAATGTCAATACAAAAGTCTGCTAGTGTTCCTAGAATTGGAAGAATACAAGCGGAGTCTGATTTTCTTTGTTCACAGCTTGGCCTATTACAAAATATTTTATTATATATGGCAATGCCTTATGCTTATTTTAACTTTCTTTTTCCTTATGACATCTCTCTTTACAGCCTATTGTTCACAAAGACATAGAGTTGGGAGCAGTGGAGGTTCCACCTGTCATCATATTTGAGAAACCTTTCTTGGTAAGAGTCATTAGGCAATCAAATCTTGGTGTGGGCCATATGGACCTTAACTCCTCGAATTTAATCAGATTTGGAATTGATTACTTCAATTAGTCTACCTATATATCCTTATCAAATACCTGGATTCATCCAGGCTCCAGCTTAAACCCCATCTTTTTTGGTAATTTGTAGGTACGTTTCAACCTCACAAATCAGACAGACCGGATATTGGGTCCTTTTGAAGTTCAGATGTCTCAAAGTGAATCACTAGATGAAAAACCTGTGATGGTTAATGGTCTTCAAACAACGGTGAGAGTTATAATGAATGCAAATCCTCTTGATTGCCTTTGACAAAACTATTTTGCTCATTGATTTATCCAGACACAGAACATGAACTCCATCTCATAGTTTTTCTTTGGCCTTTCTTGAAAAAATTGATGTAATTTAACGTAATGTTCGTCTTTTAGTCACTTCTTTTGATATTTCCTTCTAACTTCATTTCACTGCCATCCTGTAACAGTTTTTGCCACATGTAGAACCATTTAACTCTTCAGAGTTTCATCTGGTATGGATCATCTTTAAATTTAATTATTTCTACATCAACTCATTTTACGATAGTGTTCTAATCTTCTACCGCAAATATCATATTTCAAAAAATTCCCCAAGTGTTGGTATATTTTATTTTACATGAATCACTTAATCAGTTTGACGTGAACAATGTGGATGTAATTTGATCATGCATTCATTCTACTGCTCTTCGAGATTTTCTATGGAAAGGATCATCCTCCCACATACAATAGTTACGTTATATGCCATTGAAAAAAAAATTGTAATCGCAAGTTTTTGTTGCCTTCACAAAATATATAAAGGGGATTATAATATACATACACACACACACACACACACACACACACATATATATTTGTATCAATTGAAAGGGTTGGCAGTTTAATCTTGAATTAGGGCCAGCCAGCCAAGTCTTATTCATTCTTATGTTCCGAAAGGTGATAAATGGTTTCCCACACATGCAGGATTTGATTGCTGTGAAACAAGGGATACAAAAAATTACAGGCATAACGATATTTGACAAGCATGAGAAGAAGACTTATGATTCTTTATTTGAACTGGAGGTAAGTAACCTAGAAACGGCAACCAATACTAGAATTGTCATAACTTGTGATTTTTATTTTAAGTATCTTGTCCTTGTAGCAGTCGAAGAATGTTTCTGCTACCAAATGATACACTTTATCTTAGTATGTTTGATGTTTATGGTTGATCACTAATCATTATGCTCAATTTAAACCAACCGAAGCAAGTCAAATCGGTCAATCTATTTGTTATAGATTGTTAGATGGTCTGAACTTATTGACATATCTTACCTCAGTGTATCTAATTACTCCATAATTGTTTCCCATGCTCACTAAACCACCATACCAAACACAACAGTATAGCATACATGCATTTGGCTAAACAAGATTTGGTTTAGTTCCATACCTTATTTGGTTCCCCAACTTTTATTTGCATCAATTGGATCCCCAACATTTCCACCTATTTGGATTTGGGTCCTTCGATTAGCAACACGTTTAAATTTTATCGAATGAGGGAAACTCACTGGAAACCTCTCTACTTGTAAGGTATGTGAACACACACCCTCTCCACACCCCACTTATTTAGCATTCTACCGACTTTGTTTGTTGAATGACACTCAATGGACGGCTAATCCAATGTGAAAGCCATGTTTGCACTGACTGGGCAATTTTTGTAAAGAAATCCCAACAACATAATTTTTTCTAAAAAATTTGTGCTTTGCTATTAAAACATCGAGGTGATTATGTCATTGTTTCTTCTAGTGAATGTTATGGATGCAGTGCTATATAAATTTTTGTTCTTATGATATTGTTTTCTTCTTCTTTCCCAGATATTTGTGTACGCAGAATAAGACTCAGGAAGCTTTGGCCTTACGAAAACCACATACCGTGCTTTAGTGCTCTGTTTGGAAGATCATATTCCCATTCAAAGAAGGACATGGTCAGATATTGGTTGGGAAAATTTAAGGTGGAGATTTTCATATGAACGCATTTGGCCTCTCTGGTCTTGGTCCAATCTAGGATTAAGGATCACATGTTTAATCCTATATCTTGCACGGATTCTTCAAATAACTGTCATTTTCCATCCTCGGAACGTTCCCAATTTCCCCATTCCCAACCCCATCCCCGTCCCCGTGCAACTTAGGTGTAATCCTGTTTTTGGTCTTGGGATAAATTTCTCAATATATTCTTCTTCTTTGACCCTCATTCATTAGTGACGTTGGAATTGGATTAGTTGATGCCATTAATCAGAGGAAAAAAAGATCCATGGTTGTCATTTTGCCTTGTCCTTTGAAGGATTTTTTATATAAAAAAAAGTGTATCCTATCTAGAACAATGTGTATACTCGTGAGACGTTGAATACAAGTATTCCGTATTTTTTATGAGTGATGTTCCGTTGATACTGACCAATGGTGTCACTCTGGTCAAAAAGACATTATTAATGCAGGTAATAAACAATTTGAAACAATTTTATATACTTTCCACTTTCCTTTTTTTCGAAACAAATACTCCGTGCATATGTGGATAACATTGATTCTCTCTCGTTAAAATAAATGTGAACCTTACATTTTTTTTTACTTCCACCGGATTTTCAAATTTTTTTAATCCCCTATAATCAAACTCTCAAATTCTTTGAAAAACTAAGCAAGTAGTGCACATTAAATTAGGTAAATATTTTTGTACTATAATGTAAGGACTTTGCCAACTACTTTTACCATCATATTACTCCCTAGTCCCTACAAAAATCTATCATGTCCTACTTTCTTTACTAGAAAAGACAAACAAACAATATTGCATGGTATATATCATAAACGTACGGTACTCTCCCATAAATTGAGATTACAAAATTTCTTACTTACCCATTCATAATATATTTTACACTCTTTTTTCACAAGGTCTCAAAAAAATTTACATTTTATTGTTTGCGTGAGTAATAAATAATGTTATTATAAATAACGTTACAAAATACTTTACATTCATTTTATTTCTTGCGTCAATAATGAATATGTGATTGATAACATTTACTCCCTCCGTCCCTAAATAAACTTCTCTTTTTGACTTTTTGAGGATTTAAGGGAAGAATATTTTTGTGTTGACTTTCCAAAAATAACTTTGATGTGATGTGTAAAAGTAAGATGTGATATGTAGATTATTAGTAAAAAGGTATGATGTGATAGATAGAGTATGAAAAAGTAAGGGGTAAAAGGGGTTTTTAGGGGAAAAGAGAAGTTTATTTGGGGATAAAGAAAAAACAAAAGGGAAAATTTATTTAGTGACGGAGGGAGTATCTTTTATATAAATAAATTTTAGCGTATTCATTTTTTTTTATAAAATTTTTTCTTAATCTTTTGTAAAAATCAATTCCCTAGACATTTTAGGAGCTGGAGTATATGGAATTGAATGTGGTATCCATGGCGGGGCCGAGGCTATGTTATTATAGCTATACGGTTGATATGCCAAAACGTTGGATCAATGGTTATGTCATTGATATGATATTTCATGTTTTGATTATCTTCTAGTCCTTGTACTAAAAAGCCAAATCTCTCTCTCCTCCATGATACATTGATACCCGGTGATAAACTTTTATAGTTGCGGATAGCCGTTGCACAGTTGGCAAATGTAAGGATTGCCAAGGATCATAGAACCGAGTTTGATTCCTTGCAACTGCGTTGGGAGGTAACTATATATTCTAAGCATAAGGCCTCTGTAACTATCAGGTGCATGTTTCACTCTTTGCCACCAATCTGCGATCAAAATCTAATTTGGCTTCTCTCAGCAGTAACCATCTGCCTGGGTCTGAAGGGGGCATGTGCATTCCTTGATTGTTGACTGCGAGGCAAAAGTTAAATAAGAACTGACAAAAATATTTTATTTTTTAAAATTATCAATGGAAACACACAAATAAACAAAATTTATCGCGAAGTGAAAGAAAAAATTATATCTCAGTCTGTTTGTTAAAGAATTACGAGTATTTTTTTTATCTGGTAATATTGGCACCGTGCACGCGAATAATACCCTCACCCACTACCCTTCAAATTTGAATTACAAAAATAATCTTGTCTTTTTATTCACATATTTCGTGTATAATTTAAAATTTGGAATGTGCATAAAGCTCGGCGTATATGCATGTCATATTATGATGTAAATATATATGGATATAGAGAGCGAGAACCTGAAATATTACTTCGAACTCGGGTGACGATAATTTGGGTGACGATAAGTATCGAACTCGTGACTTTTAGGTCAACAATGCTCGGTTACAATACTAATAAACTAAATTAACTCAAGGCTTGTTTGGAAATGAGGTTACAGATTAGCGTTTTGAAAAGACTATCTACGGGCAGCGTTTAGCGTTAGCGCGCGTGTTCAAATTAATCTGCATTATGACATTTTTATCCAAAACGCTAACGCTAACCTCTAATGTTATTTCCAAATTGGCCCTCAACCAAAAGTTTAAACTTCTGATCATAAACTACTTGAAAGTTTAATTTATATTCAAGCAATTCTCTCTCTAGGATAAGTTGGAGAATGTGTATTTATAACAATTATTAAATTGAGGAATTCACTCTTTCACTCTGTTGGAAACTTTTAACTTCAATTAGCACCAAAATTAAGAAATTTGAAGTGTTTGTGATTGAGATTCATTCAGACTAAAGTGTAAAATATGTTCCACAATTTTTTTCTTGTTTTAAAAAATCAAGAAATATTCAATGACATATATAAAAGAAAAGAAGTGAAAAGTAATATGCACTCATATTGCCTTTTTCTTTTTTTTATTTGTCTAAAAAAGTTCTCATCCTACCACTTTTTTGGTTTTCAAATGATTAGTCCAATTGGTTTTTAAAAAAATTAAAAAAATAAAATTGTATAATTAGAAGTGATGCACCTAAGAAAGAAAAATATGAGCCACAAATATTTTACCAAAAGTAAAAAGATTATTGCTCCATATATTTATAGGATATTTCAAAAAGAACCCACAAAGGCAGCTCAGCTGGTCTCAGAGTAAAATTTGGAACAAAAAAAAGAACCCACAAAGGCAGCTCAACTGGTCCCTCACCAGTGGTAGTATGGGACCAATCTTTCAAAAAAATGAGGGGAGCTTCTTGTGAGATGTGCGCATTGGTCCTGTCTTGGTTTCCGATTAAATTGTTATGATTTACATCTTTTTATAATCCCGCCGGCCAGAAGAAGAGAGACGCCTCGGGAAGCGATTTCGCTTTTTTTGACAAGGATATTTCAAAGGCCTCAATTTCAAGTGGGGGGCCCTTTATGTGCGATTCTCCATTTTATATTGCCTTTAATTTAATGAATGAAATGCATATTTGTGGCCCACCTACTTTGGGCCTTGCCAATTGCCACCCACACAAGATGGTGTCCCAATTTTTGACTTTTATTCCTTTTTACTAATAATAAAATCATTTTCCAAAGCCAATTTACCCCTTTTGGGCGGTTGCTAGGGCCCATATATGGAGTTGGTTGTTCATTTAATACTCTATGTAAGTCTTGTTCCCCCTACTTAACTCTTTTTTCTAGTAGCCCTCACCAAATAATACATTCCATTTAAAAAATTATTGAAAAATAAAAAAAATACTTGTGTGTTTTTGCATTTTATTGAATTCATTATTCATAAGTTAACTTTTTTTAAAAACATAATTTGATATTCATAAACTATTAAGCAAAGATTTCATAGAAGTCTTACAATGAGTCTGGTTCGGGTCAGACGACTCAAACCAAAATGTTTCATACCAATTCATTGAAAATTCGTTACTGAACTGTACCTATTTTTTCAAGGGGTATTGAAATTTTGAATTGAATTTAGATTCATTGAGTCTTGATATCAGGTTAGGAACACCCTCATAAAAGCCAATATGATTGTATCATATGATTAAAAAAGTTAATGAAAACAAAAATACCCAAATTGAATAGTACTTGTAATAAAAACAAGATCATCATAACGTTATGACAATATATTTTGACATAAAATTGAACAAGATATACACATTCATTTTTGGCAAAATATGCAATAAAAGGAAAAGAAAAATAAGGATATGTAAAAGAAATCAATGATATCTCTAAACATCATGCTAGAATAGTTTGCGTCTCAAACGGGTCAAAAAATTAACAGTATACCCGAATCTTTAATTTAAAATACATAACGGGTCAAATTTCGAGTCGGGTAGAAAGAGATTAAGTTCACCTACACCCACAAGATAATAAACGAGCCTAGTTAGAATTTGAGTCGAAACTTGACCCATTGACAGACCTAGTTAGAAACATTGATAAGCGGCCTTGTGCCATGCATGTGGTGCTGCACCCATTAGGAACATATTACCTTCCATATTTTTTAAACATATCAAAACTCAAATAAAAATTTTGATTCAATTTTTCCTGTTTGGTAACATTACTAGTAAGAAAATATTTTCTCCCATTGAGGAAAAATAATTCCCAGCCCAGCTCCAGCTCTGGCCCTGCGCCCCAAGGCCTCTAACCTTGGCCCCTACCCCTACAACCTGCCACTCGTACCCATCCACACCCACCCGCGTGTTCACCCCCACCCTACCGCCCTCTGTTCCTCGCCAACTCTTGACATCCTCCCTTACCCCTTCCCTCTACCCCACGCCAACATTCCCACCCTACGCTCGCCTCGATGTTATTAATATAATTTAAAATTATCTATAAAATATATTTTAAATATCAATTATAAAATCTTAACAATTAAAATTATTATTTTGAAAAACTAATTTTCTTCCCATCAATTCATAGAAAATACTCACTTCCTCCCAAATTGTTTGCAACATTTCGAAGGACGTACAAAATATCATCCATTTTAAAATCATTTCATTTACAAATTGACAGGGAAATAAAATATAAAAATTACACCGACCAAAAGTACACCAAAAGTGTTACAAAACAAGATGCGATGAGAATATTTTATTTTATCAAATGGTCAACCAAAATAAATTAACAAATAAAAATTACCGAGAGATCGAAATAATAACCGTAACATTCTTCTAGGGACGGAGAGAAGATGTGGTGAAATCATTTTGCCTTAAAAAATCGTCTTCTTTAGAAAAAAAATATGGTAAAATATTTTTCCAACCAAACATTCTAGGATTTCAAACCTTTTTCTAGAGTAGAAGAGAAGCTCAAGTGATGGCGCCACGTGGCCACAAAATCTGCTCAGTGCCCACACACACTCCCCACCCGATCTCTGTCATTCAACAAAGAGAGAGCATATAGAAGCACCTCCTCCCACTCCCATCTGTTGCACTTCGGGAAAAGAAAAGAAAAAAGAGAAAAGGATGGAAACTGAAGATTTGGGTTTAGAGCTTAATTTCGAGAGTTAGAGAGAGAGAGAGAGAGAGGGGTAAAGTAAGGGATGTTTGTCGGGGGTGGAGGGTTTGGAGGGCCAATGCGAAA